CTTAATCTGATGTGTCATCCAATGGGCTTTATCTATGATATCATCACAGATAAACCCCATTGGATAAAACATCAGGTTAAGCCTACACTGATAAAAATAAGACCGCCTTTTTACTACGAGAATCGGTGGTCATTTTTAACCCTCGATTGCGCAGTTAAAATACAGAGTGATTTGTAGTTTTACCTTTAAACATTACATTTACCACTCGAATGGAATGAAGTTTCCAGCAAATATCATTTAGGTATACTGTTTGATAGTAAAATTCATATTTATTAGTAAATGAAATTTCTAGTAACTATGAATTTTACTATCACGTCATGATTTTTACTATCAGACAGTAAACCCAAATAATGTTTACTGGAAACTTCATTCTATTTGAATGGCAAATGTAATATTTAGAGGTAAAACCTTATCTACAGTAGTCGCACGGGCTGTGTCGCATGTCGTATATGAGATTGGTTACGTTCAGCGGACTCAACAATTTAATGATCATTCGCTGTTATTGATGTGTTCTTTTAGATTTTAGAAGAATACATCAATAACGAATGGTTATTTAATTGTTGAGTCCGCTGAACGCAACCAATCTCATATATGCAACACAGCCCGTGCAACTATTATACTATATCTTTTACAACTTTATGAAATCGAGTTAAGTGCTGAGCTAACATATTTCTTTTTTTAAACAACATAGTTGATTTACAATTCTTAGAAAAAGGACATGTAACTGCTACTCCATAAATTATATGATTATTATAATGTTTTACTATATATTTTGTATTGTTAATTATAGATGAAGCACAAACTTCACATTTTACAGATACTATATGAGGTATTTGGCTATTACTCAATCTCCTATTAGTATTATGATTTCGGAAAATATGTTGTCTGAATGCACGATATGTTTGGAATGTTAATCTACAGGCACCAGTCAAACATTGGAAGGAAGCATGTTTTTTATTTCTATGAAAGTACTGGTGGATATTATAAGTTTTATTATTTTGGAGGTTAATGCCGCAACTTTTACATGTGAACATATTGACAGACACACTGTAATTCACAGTATATTTTTATTGTGATACTAACCTTTTAATCTCGAGATGCCTTCGATTATTACGAGAAAATAGACTATGAAGAAAATAGACTATGGCCGGTATTCATAGTCAGATCTTATATTCAAGACCGTCTTAAGTACGGTCTTAAGAAGTCACGAACCAATCAGAAGGCTGCATTAGCGTCTTAAGACATCTTAAGATCAAACTTAATGGGCCTTCTACAATAAGCCGCAAGTCAGAACGTTAAGCTGTGTATACACCTAGCGAACGAACATCGAACGAACAGCAAATGTAAAAATTTGTATTGTTGTTTGTTATAATACATAAAAGTCGCACAAGTTTAATTGCTACATGGAACGAACATCGAATCTGGTCGAATATCAGTATTCCGTACAATCGAGAAAAAGAATAAACTGCTCACAAATACAAACACTAATATCCGAACATTCGCGTTCGGTGTTCGTTCGCTAGGTGTATACACGGCTTTAGAAGTCTTAGGTCCGTTTCCACCAACGCAGATCAACTTTAATCTCGGTTCAACTTAATCTTTGTCTTTTTCTAGTTCTAAAGATTAGAAAAAGACGAAGAGTAAGTTGAACCGAGATTAAAATTAATCTATATTGGTAGAAATGGGCATTAATCAGTCTTAACCAAAGGTCTGTTTTTTATTGCTGCGCTCTGAACCAGTGCAATAAGTTAAAGTGAAACAAACGTATATTTGTATCACTTCAACTTTCTGCACTGTGTGTACTAGTTCAGAAAGTGCGGCAATAAAAAACAGATCTCAAGTCGTTCAAGTTGGCTATTGGCCAACTTCACCGGTTATGATTTAAGATCGCTTAGAACTTCTGACTTGCGGCTTATTGTAGAAGGGCTATACGATCTTAAATATAAGAAACGACTATGAATACCGCCCTATGAAGACGCTATGAAGAACGCAAAACACTATCAGAATATTCTCGATGTGCTCAACTGCTCACCAATGCTCACGCGCCACACGGTAATGCGCGCGCAAGCACACTTTTTACTAAAATACCATTGATATCACACTACTGACAGTAAAATTCCGCGCCAGGTTGTAAATTTACAGTATAAGAAAGATATTTAAACACATGTATGTAATATTATAGGTATATTTAGCGATATTAGAAGTAAATTTACAAATTATCTGTAAATATACTATATTCAATTAATTTTTCATAATATTTCAATATTTTCCATTGAAATAAAAGAAATAATATAAATTTTAATTAAAAAACTACAAAAAGTCAATAAATTTACCAAAAAATAAGTACATTTCCTTTGTAAATTCGCATCGATTTTTATCAGTGTAAGCACAAGTTAACGAAGTAATGAAAAACCGGGTCAAAATGACATAAGTTGCATATATACTTTTTTGCGAATTGATACACTGTATCACCAAATGTGGAGAGTTTAATCTTTTTAGATAAGATAGTTGTATATGCTTCGACCATCGACATCTAGAATGGACCGCTGATGGCAATGGTGGGGGTAGAAAGACGATTAGAGTGAGAGGCAGGAATAATAAGATCGTCTTTCTCTGTTTACTGAAGCCTGATTGGTTGTTGTTAATCCAACAACCAATCAGGCTAGTTAAAACAACAGTAAACAGAGAAAGAACGATCTTATTATTCCTGCCTCTCACTCTAATCGTCTTTCTACCCCCACCATTGCCATCAGCGGTCCATTCTAGATGTCGATGGCTTCGACACTTTGTCAGTAGAGGGAAGGCAAGGCAGTATAATATTAAAGTCCCTATAATGAGAGTCAAAACATAAGACCGGAAGGACGCCATTGCTGGGCGCCGGCCGGAAACAGCACAAATAATGCGTAGCACAAATAGACGCGTTCGCGCCTGTTTGTACTACTACACCATGAAACAGTTGCTCACACCAATTCACAGATTCACTAACACATCGAAAGCGCCTAGAAATGGCGGCGACCAATCACGAGGGCGTCGCCCCTCATGTCTTGACTTCCATTATAGAGACTCTACGTAATAAGTCTCTTGATGCGTTCGGGGAGGCGCTATTAGCGTTACTTCTGTTATTCTATCTGTTCTTTATTAGATGTAAAACAAGGATAGAATGACAGAAATAGCGCTAATAGCGTCTCCCTGAACCACCGACGAGATATTATTAAAGACCGTCAACCCTGGGCAAATTTTCGGTGGTATAAAAAGGGCTCGGAGGTAATTCAAGAACGCTGACATTACCGACAATTGATATAAATTTGCTATTATTAACATAAATATTTGGCTCATACATTATTAAATTCATGATTTTTTATTACATAAATGTCCCATAAATAAATATACATACTTGTAAAACTATAATATCCTATATAAAAATCACAATTTTTTCTCTACAATTATCATCTTTATTGATAATCAAACTTTGACGATAACACTGAAATCTCAATTTTAAAGAAAAATCGAGTATTATTGGGTTATAAATGTATAAATACACATCTACTAAACTAATAAATCCTAAAATTAGTACAATATTATCAATTTTTAACTCTTAATCACTTCAATATTCACAAGGACGCGAACTCCCGTAAGAATGTCGGTCTTTAATAGTATCTCGTCGGTGGTATTGCGAACATATATAAAATGGCTGTATTTGTACCTACAGTAGGTCAATAAACTGAATTATAATCTATCTATGTGGTACTACAATCGTACAAGGACTTCAATTCTTTCCCACGATTACTTTTTTAAAACTTCCAAAAATTCAGGTTATTTCGTTTTTACGTCAAATTTAGTTGTAAACGGGCGTAAGATTTAGTTCGTATTTTATTTGTTTATCTAAAATTTACGTTTTAAAACACATTTTCTTATTTGTACATTTACTCGTAAATTGTGTTATTTTGACACTAAGAAATATTAAATATCAATTATACAAAAATATTTAAATATCATAATCATATTATATGTAAAATTATAATACTTAAATATGTTGAAAATTCAACATAATTTTAATAAGGATTTGAATGGACTGTTTCTACCACAAAATGAAAGCACAAACGCACATATATACACATAAATTTTTATAATAACCCAAGTAGCAAGCTACGTCATTTTGACGTCAAATGACGTCTTTTTGACGTCAAATGACATCATTTTGACGTCAGCTTGCTACCAGGGAATTTTATACAATTTATGATTTTTTAGTAATTTAGTATCAGAATGTATTTTAACACTTTTTTTACTTAAGATATAATTTTTAATGAATAATAAATGAAAACTAAAAAGTAAAATGAAAAAATACTTTATTAGAAACTATATAATTTTGTTTTAGAAAAAAAAGTAATGTCCAGAAATCTTAAGAGAGAAAAAAGAAAGATTCATTATTATTATAGTGCTTCATCTCATAAAGATAATAGTTGGCATAAACTGAGACATAACATGCTAGTAAAAATTATAATTATAAAAATTATAAAATAATAATTATAAATATATAAAATTTTTTGGAAGTGTTCTGAGCACTCAATCTATCAGCTTGAGTATTTTTAATTTATAACATTTACTTAAAGATAAATCGATCCGTTACGCTAATAATGGCACTATCACAGATATGATTGACTTGTCTCAATGAGTGGTGTTTTTTCATTTTTTCATGAGAATTCTAAGATAATCACAGGTACTTTTGCAAGATAATAAGGTTTTTCTCACACTATTCGAGATAAACCAAGGCATCTTTCGCGTGAATTATTTACTAGACCGCGCGATGCAATACAATTGACACATCTGGACATTTCGAATCCATTTACCATTTACACGACTGTTATTGAGGAATCAAAATGTTTGGAATATTTCATCAGAATACACGATTCTATATGTATTGCGAGTATTGTAGCAACTGATATTCAGCAATTTTTGTTCATTCTTATCGAGGCGCATTGTTTTTAAGGTAAATAGACTTATTACGTCTTAAATACACCAGCCTTGCCTATCTTAATTATAAAAGTTTTTAGCGTATTCCCATTCAAATTTGCAAAACTTTCCGTCTGCGTCACAGCCGTCATATGATTAATAGCGAACCTAATACAAAATTCTTCCAGCTCCTAAAACATTATCAAATTCGTTTATTCCATGCGTGTATAGATATAGCAATTAATAAACTGTTATTAAGTTAATAATGACAATGTTTAATTACCTCCTCATTGTACTGAACTGCAACGCTGTACAAATAGGCAACGTTCAACACGCTAATTCCTTGCTTTATTATCCGAATACAATGCTTCTTGAGATTGTTCTCGCAGTAAACATCAGCCAAGTTCAAAAGTTCTATAATGAAAGACATTGTTCCGACATTTAGACCGATAACTGGTTTATGGTGTATTCGACTTACCTATCGTCTTCTCCATAGGTAAAGCGATCATGCCAGTGTATAAATATTTCAAGAAGGCTTTGTAGATGACATAGGAAAATTGATCAAGCTCGATGACACTGTCAAAATGAGCAAAATTTGGTAATTTTTAATATAATAAATAATAATCCTTTGTTAAATAATTACCTTTGATTGTTTTCCATCCAATCATGTTGAAACATGTTTCTAAAATACGTACAGCGAATCTTCAAAATAGCTTTATGCACAAAGATACTTTGGCCCTCTACTTGTATTGTGAGATCACTTGTATGCTATATCAGGACAAAAATTGTTAGAGACAAATGTGTGCAATATTAACTGCAGAGTACATAAAGTATTTGTCGCATTTATGAATTAAAATTGAGAACAATGTATTACACAGTTTTAAGTGTTAATTAAAGTGCTCATTTTTAGCTAGAGTATTTTTTTTCTTCTAAAAGGAGTTTCTTGAATTTCTGTTAAAAAGCTTAAGCTAAAAACTGTCTTATTATTGGTGCTTTCTGACAAGAGACAAAGGATGCTTTCCAGCAAGGACACAGTCAGACACTGTGTAACACATAGCACGTAATATCACAATAATATTGCAGAAATATTATTTCAGAAATATTATAATATAATATATTACAGAAATATTACTGATGTATTACATTAATAATTAACATCAAAATATTTCTGTAATATTATATTGTAATATTTCTAAAATATTGCGATATTACTGTGATATTACATGTTATGTGGGCACTGTGTTATACTGTGGATGTTTTCCAGCAAGGACACAGTCAGACACAGTCAAAATATCACAGTAATATTGACAATATGTCTTAAGTAGTAGAGTGACATTATAATTAATAACGCTTTTATGATGTTTTATTAACATTAGAGATGTGATCAAGACGTTATTAAAATATCACAATATTATACGTACACACATAATTTAAGTAATATTTAGTTTATTATATAATAGTTATTGTGTGTATGTGTGTGTGTATTGACAATCAGCATTATTTTCTAATATATATATATATATATATATATTAAATGGAAAAATTTTTTAAATAACACATTAAAAATATCAATTCAATAATTTCATTTTTTAAATTCTTTAAACTCTTTTAATTTTTGCCAATAAATGTTACATAAATATAAACATTATATAAATATCACAAAAACATTATATAATATTACAATATTTCTGTGACATATCTTAGTAATGTTCCTGTGATTCATTTTCGCAGACATTGCAATATTATTATGATATCTTAATAATATCTCACCGATGTTTCTGGTAGATTTCATTGTAACATTACGAAAAATGATATTGCAGCGATATTACTATGATATTGCGTGCTATGTGGATGATCATTTTATCTTTAATCTATATCAGGACAAAGAATAAGACACAGACTTCGTCATTGAATGAATTTCCCATGCATTCCAATACGCTCTTCAGGCATTCAATACGCGGTTCTTCGTTACTATAAAGAATTAGGGGTTTGTGCATAACGCTTGGCGATCCGTAGCACGCAAACGCGTCATACATGTTCGAAAACGTAGTGGCAGTTGGAATCATGATTCTCTGACCGTGGCAGTTACCCCATATATAGACACGTCCTCCCTCACTAATAGCGATATTTACATGTTTGACAGCCGCGATGTCGGATATCTTTCCCATTTTATGCTTGACCTGTACAAAATATTGATTATATTATAACTTTCGCTTTTTTTTTTGTTTTCTGTGTCCTAATTTATGATGACAGTAAATATGAGTTTACCATGACTGGTTTAAGGGTACCAAAGATAGGTACAAGGAAAGGTATACAAGGACAGCCTTTGTCATCCGATCGGGGATCTCTACCCCAGGAATAGAGATCTCCTTCATCCGTAAGCGCTAGCGTGTGCTCAAATCCGCAAGCCACTTTGACTGAAACAATATCAATTGCTCAATGATCCCATTTTTTCTTTATCGTTCTTCTATTTTTTTTTGTTTTATGCAGATAAAAGAATTACCTATTACAGTGCCTTTCAGTGAATCAACCCAGCACGGCGTCATTCGAGTTTGGAGATCGTCTAAACCCAGCTGGCCAACATAATTATTGCCCCAAGCAAACACCTCGCCATTTTCGACGACTGCCATGGTAAAGGCATTGCCACAAGAGATGCAGACAACCTTCTTCCTAGCCAAGCTGGAGTCCACTTGCCTGGGTATGCTTTGATCAATGATGTTATCGTTACTCACTTGTCCGAAGTAGTCTCCCCAAACGTATACCTAAATCAAACCAAGTAGCTAATGTATCTAATGTAGCTCGTAATAACGTACGGTTATCATTATACTCAAACTTTTGCTTACCTTGCCAAACTCGGTCAAAGCAACAGAATGGTGACTCCCACACGCAATATCCACGATGCGCGTAAAGCCCACAGAGTTTCCCGGAGTGAATACTAAAGTAGGGGTGAAAACTGGATAATATATTCCGTGTCCCAGTTCACCGTGATCGTTGTAACCCCACGAATATATCTATTGAAGACATATACTGTCAATAATTCTAATAATATATAATATATTATATAATATATTCTAATAATTCTAATAATATACTGTCAATAATACTGTCTAACGTCTCAAAAATACATTGATTGAATATAAATCGAGATAAAATCTCTGATAATTCATCTGAATTGACAGAAGCATCGATGAAGAAAAATTTAAATGTCCTTTTGTAAAAATATAAGCAAGTCAACTATTTTATTCTTAATTACAAGAGTCCAAAACAACTTAATGCTTAACAAATTCGTATTAATAAAAATTATGTGTTTTAAAGAGAGGATCAGAATTATATACAGCTTTAATAAAAAAATGTTAGACTCTTATAATTTTTTTATTCGTTCGGAAATCTTTTATCTGCATTGCCAATGTTGTCATCTATTGATTACTAGGATTATATAAGTTTAAAAGATTCTTGAAACAAAGGTAATTTATAATAATATAATTGGCCATAAATCAATTCTTGAACTAAAACTTCAAATAATAATTAATAAAGTGCTCAATATTTTTGTTGTATTCTAGAGAAGTAACGTGTTACAAAAATATCAAATTTTGTTTTCACTTATATTCTAATATCAACTTCCTAACGTACTTCTCCTTCCTTCGTAAGTGCGAGAACGTGAGACCCATTGCCATAAGCAAATGTCTTAATATTCTTCTTGCAAAGAGCCTTCACCTTCCTTGGATACAATGTGGAGTTTGTGTCCCCTATTCCCAAACAACCATTGACGTTGTTACCCATAGCATACACCATTTTATTCTTCATCACCATCAAGGTCTCTCTACCCATTTCACCTGTTATCAAACAAGATAAGGTAAACAACATTGCCAGAGTGAGTGAATTTTTGACAGCAAGGATGGATGCGTTCATGCCTTGATCCAGGATTCATCCTTTTTAATTTTATGAAATTTTTGATCAAACTTGTTGAATGTTTCGACTGAATACAGCCTTGGCTAGAAATATTATGCACCCTATCAACCATTATTTAAAATTTCAGCTGAAAAATTAATTTATAACATTTGTTGTAAACTATTCTGTTTCAAGACCCTTTAAACTTGTGTTCAATGTCGATAACTAAGTGACAATAATTAAAAAATTCCCAATGAATAAAAAAAATACAAGTCCCTAATATTTTATCAATCAAAGCTGTATTTATTGACTTCGTAAATTTACCATTACTGTTTTGTTACTCTGCTGTAAAGCCCATTCTACAATTGCGTAAGCGTTGTAAGTAGTTGCATGTAGTTGTAAGAATTGACTAATCACAGTCAAATATTTTCCTCATTTGATTATGATTGGTTAATTCCTCATTTGATTATGATTGGTTAATTCTTACAACTATAACCACTTACAACTACGCTTACGCAATTGTAGAATGGGCTTAACACCGACGAAATATTATTATAAAGACCGTCAACCCTGAGTAAATTTTCGGCGGTATAAAAAGGGCCCCAAGGGCCCAGAGGTAATTCAAAAACGCTAACATTACCGACAATTGATATAAATTTGCTATTATTAACATAAATATTTGGCTCATGCATTATTAAATTCATGATTTTTTATTACATAAATGTCCCATAAATAAATATACATACTTGTAAAGCTGTAATATCTTATATATTGCAAAAAAATCATAATTTTTTCTCTGCAATTATCATCTTTATTGATAATCAAACTTTGATGATAACACTAAAATCTCAATTTTAAAGAAAAATCGAGTATTGTTGTGTTATAAATGCATAAATACATCTATATATATATACTAAACTAATAAATCATAAAATTAATACAATATTATCAGTTTTTAACTCTTAATCACTTCAATATTCACAAGGACGCGAACTCCCGTAAGGATGTCGGTTTTTAATAGTATCTCGTCGGTGGCTGTAATAACGTTTTTGTTACTTTAAAAGGAGACGTGAGCCATTAAAATTAGAAGTTGAAAGTTTAAGCAATACGAAAGGCAAAAGAAAACAGCGAATTACCATATACAAAAACCATGTGAATCTGCGAAATGAAATCCGGCTCCAATGAACTAAAAATCGGCCAATTACGGAGACCCGAGACGCACATATTGCCTCACGAGATTGCTTCAAATTCACTCTGATTATTTCTAGTCGTCTCTTCTTCTACTTCTTCTAATTCCTCTTTTTTAGTTTTCCGACTCAAACTAGTGTCGTCTCTTCGCGAACGCTTTGTTTTGTTCCTTAGTACCTTTCTGTAATCACGCATTCAAGCGTATTACCTTTCATGTCATTGGCCGTGTTCAGCAGAATGTTTATTTTGCAACTGTTGGAAGTTCTCTATTCGCTGGGATAGAACTATTGCGCCAAATTTAAAAATATAATGCAACCAATGTGAAAAAATGTCCAACAGTTACAAAATAAACATGCGGCTATTCAACTAGAGGAAGAAAAAGAGAAAAAATAAAACAATTACGCTATATTCTGTATCTACTGCCGACAATTAAAGTGAATAATCAAGATCAAATGAGAACGTTTAATTAATAAAAATCATAATCATAATCATTTATATGTAATGAAAATTATTTAACCGGTTGTCATATTTTCTGCAATTTTCATTTTTTGTAATAAAGAAAATTGCTGAACATTGTACTTTAAAAATTGTAGAAAATAAAAGTACAGTAACTTTGTAAAGATTTTAATTGTAATAATAAAAAAAATCGCGAAAGGAAAAATGTTTGAAAAATGAGTTTTTTAGTTAAAAACCACAATTTTTCAATTTTTAACTATTTTTTATAAAAAATGTATGACTGTACTCTACAGATGACACTGTATGAAAAAATAATGCAACGGTTCGCCTTCCCTCCAAAAAAAAATATTCTGAAAAAAAGTAATCGTTGAGAAAAAAGAATGTGAAATTATTGTATAAAATATAAAAGATTTATTATTATACTATAACTAAGATATACTATAATTAGAGAAAGGTTTTTAAAATTACTTTAGGTTTAATTTGATTCCGTCCCAGGTAGCAAGCTACGTCATTTTGACGTCGTTTTGACGTCAAATGACGTCTTTTTGACGTCAGCTTGCTACCAGGAGTATAACCATGATTAGGTACATTTTATATATTAAAAAAATCGTAATATAGTAATGTACAGTATAAAATGACAAACGACAAGGTTTTCCTCAACCGAACTCTTCTAATAAAGCATTATGATAGCACAAACTGTTAGAAAATAATAAAAAATTTTATTATATTCGCAGTCTACAAAGCATATTTATATTTTCCAAAATTTACTGCTGACAAACAAAATAAATTACAAATTTCACAGCGACATATATGAGCGCGAACCTGGCATGACAGATAGTGAACTTACCAATGCCAGAGGTCTTGGGTTCGATTCTGGTAGAAACCAAAATATTTTTACAGTTTTATTTTATAGGCATATAACTAATGTAAATATACTTTAATACAATATACCTTTCGAAATGTTATTTATTTGACTTATAAGGCCTGATTGCACCAACGTTACTTTGATTTTAAGCGAGGCTTAAAACCATTGTGGAAGGATAAATCCATGTGGAAGGATAAGTCAAATAAATAACATTTCGAAAGGTATATTGTATTAAAGTATATTTACATTAGTTATATGCCTATAAAATAAAACTGTAAAAATATTTTGGTTTCTATTGTAGACGACGCCTTAAGGCCCGTCTACAATACATGGAGTAAGAAGTAAGAGTAAGAAATTGACCAATCACAGTCGAATGTGAGAAGAATAATCGACTGTGATTAGTCAATTTCTCACTCTTACTTCTTACTCCGTGTATTGTAGACGGGCCTTTACATGGTGTGTGCAATTCGGCCAAACTACGCCTACTTTTGCTGCGCGTCATCTATTGAAGGGACTATCAACTGTGAAACACGAAACATGGGACAGTATTCATAGGCCGATATTCATAGTCAGATCTTATATTCAAGACCGTCTTAAGTACGGTCTTAAGAAGTCACGAACCAATCAGAAGGCTGCATTAGCGTCTTAAGATATTACTTGAGACTCGACTATGAATACCAGCCATAGGCCGGTATTCATAGTCAGATCTTATATTCAAGACCGTCTTAAGTACGGTCTTAAGAAGTCACGAACCAATCAGAAGGCTGCATTAGAGTCTTAAGACATTACTTAAGTCTGGATCTACAATAGGGTTTTAAGCCTTAAGCCATAAGAAATGGACGAATTACAGTTGATTATTCTTCTCGGGTTCGACTGTAATTGGTCAATTTCTTACGGCTTAAGGCTTAAGCCCAGTATTCATAGTCAGATCTTATATTCAAGATCGTCTTAAGTACGGTCTTAAGAAGTCATGAACCAATCAGAAGGCTGCATTAGCGTCTTAAGATATTACTTGAGATGGTCTTGAAATAATCGACTATGAATACCAGCCTAAAACACCTATTGTAGATCCGGGGTAAGACGGTCTTGAAATAAGACTCAACTATGAATACCGGCCTATAGTCCATTCTTATTTTAAAACTGTCTTAAATAATGTCTCAAGATAATATTCTTAAGGCTTTCACGGGTGCTTTCTATATAAAGATTATGCGCGCGTTTCGCGGGTTTTCTTCGTGTCCAAATCCATTCTTAGAATGCCAATGTTTCGTGAACCTTGCAGTCCACTTCATCAGGGCGAGGAGCAGCTTGATGCTGCCTTAATGTCTTAAGCCAATGTCTTAAGATGCTAATACAGTCCTCGGATTGACTTATGGCATTTTAAGACTGTATTTAAGACAGTCTTAAATGTAAAAATCGATTATAAATATTGATCTGTTTCGCGTCGTGAAGTTGATATTGAATCTTTCTCTGTGCAAGGAAAAGGAGGATATCTCGTCGTTTATCATTGTTTTTTAAATAAGAAAACATCTTTGTTGCCAATTATTAATATTATAGTCGACATAAATCGAATCTAAAAATACAAAATGATTCGTAAAAAAGATTAATTGGAAAGCATTAATTGATGTTTTATCGTATTTTTAAATTTTCATATTTTTCATAAAATTATTACTTTTTTTGTAACAAATGTCTTATGAAAAATATATCTAATTAATATTTTGTGGTGCAATATTACTGAAATTTTATCCAATTTGGAATTAATTTCTAAATCATGGAGGCATAATACGAACAGTGATTAGCTGTGTTCAGCAGAAGATTTTAACTTTGGAAATGTATTACAATTACTACCCGGTAAAAAATTTCTTATGCATGAATATGTATAAATATGCATAAACATACATAAACACACATAAATATTCATAAACATGTATAATTATATATGAAATATGTCCATACATATTCATACATCCTTCTTTTTTTTGTAGAATTACTTTTTAGTGTAATAGAAATAATAATAGTAATGTGAAACATAAAAAATAATTAAAGGGATAATTTTCGCATTGTTTTTGTTTTAGAAAAAAACAAGTTTGGAAAAATGTAAAAAAATTGCTCATATATAATTATGCATAATTTTATGTATAATTATACGTAATTTTTTTACATTTCTTCAAACTTGATTTTTTCTAAAACAAATAGTGCGAAAATTACATTTTTAATTATTTTTAATGTTTTCACACATTACTATTATTATTTCTATTACACTAAAAAGTAATTTTACAAAAGAAAGAAGGATGTATATAAACATGTATGGACATATTTCATATATAATTATACATGTTTATGAATATTTGTGTGTTATGTATATTTATACATATTCATACATAAAAAATTTTTTATCGGGTATGATATTATATAGATTCATATTTGTCTATATTAATTTCTATGCAATTAATTTTAGTATTGGTATACGTAATTATAATAATAAAATAATTATATAATTGTTATTGTATAATCAATAATTAGAATGAGAAATTGTCTAATACACATAAAATTTTCTATAGTTAAATATGCTTATCAATGAGAATTAACAAATTTGTGTGTCTCTATGTAAAATTCTGATCTCGTGATTATTTATTTATTTTATTTAAATCTATTGCATTTATCCTTGCAATATATTCAATTTAGATGTGTTAATACATTGTTCTTATTTAGTTCCATTTATGCATTTTTTGTAGATATGGGAAAAGGTATCATTGCCAGTGACAATCTGAGTGTAGCGTAAGATAAACCTATATACCATGTATACACAAGAATTAGACCGTTGCAATATACAACTATGGTGCAATAGTGGAGTCAAATTAGATCAAATAAGGCTTTAACTTCGGAAAAAGTCTCCGATCCATATTTTTTAATGAAACCTTTTGGAATCGCTTGTAAATAGTGTCAAGAAAAAATGCATCCTCTTGAAATTGGGTGCTAATTGTTTATTTATTTAATAACAACAAATAAATGTAAAATTAGTTGTAAAATGAAATATATCGAGTATAAACCGTTGAAAAATTTTGAAAATAATTTCCTAGGGGTTTTCGAGTATGCTGAATACGAATTCGATGTCAGATTTTAGAAATTCAAAATGGTGGATTCAAAATGGCCGACGGAAATATGAAATATTGCAAAATTAACCAAATAAATTGTTTTTTTCGTTTGTTTGAGACAAAATAAAATGAGTTATAATATTTTTGACGTATTTATTAAAATAGTATAGATTACAATGTATCAGAACGTAAGAATTTAATATGAAAAATCTTTGGTTATTGGACTTCTTGATATTGTGCTGGGCGTTCTGAAATGTCCATAATTTCCGATGGCATTTCTAAAACTTCTGCATTTTCAGCCAGGTCAGATATTTGAGGAGTGTTAAAACAGTCAACTCCACTGCAATTTAAACAAGCAGTGCTGCAGTATAAACCGGTTTTTCTACAGCCACAATTATTTTCGCATCCACTTTTGCAGCTGCAAAATAAAGTTTGTAGTAGTTTTTCGGGAGCTGGAGTTTCGGTCATGGTTACAGGGTACAAAAAATCTTTTTTCATCCATCCCCATTCTTGTGGTACTAAATGATGACCTAACCACTATTGCACTTGCAGGAATACTCGTTTAAAATGTTGCAGTGCTGCGTTGTTAGTAGGTGATAAAAATGCAAGGGTCATTTTTCTTC